TCGTCTAGTGTTGTTAAGTCGTCCATGGTTACCTTGTCCTCTGGACGACTTAAATTTAAGTCTTCTAGTGTTTTGTCAAATTGCACAACCAAAAGATTATAAGACGACTTAATTTTAAGAATTTTAATGTACAACAACGCAACATACAACAAGCATCCTAAACATCAGCCTAATCAAGTTCGAATACAAACATACAATATAAACATCAGCCTTCATAAGTACCAATCTCGTCAAAATTATCCTTGTTTTCATACAAATGCGGGAGAGTGAGCTCATTATATATATCCACATCCATCTTATCCCTAATATTTTTCACGTGCGCGTCGTTCTTAGCAAAATCTTTTGGATTAAATGACAGCCCAAGAGCATGACATTCAATGTATTTTAGAGCGTAGACGCCACAATCACCACTTCGGGCCTGAGGTACATTGCTTGCACGTTCAAATGTGAATGGCTCCAGAGAGTATACCTCATCAGTGCTAGAGCACTCAACAAGCAGATAAGGAACCATGTGCAGAAAAGGCTCCATTAGCAGTTCGAGTCTTGCGTCGGAGATACAAGTTACGATGCTGTCCCAGACGACTATGTGTCTCTTAGGGATCGATATCCACATAGCAACCCAATGCTCGTCCTTGTAGTTCACTGGCGCATAGATATCATCAATATCCACCCCCCACAACTTCAATGACTTGCAAAATGATGGTACAGTGCCGTCATAATAGTTATACGCTCCACCAGGGAGTCTTCTTCCCAAACCGGGGAGCAGGAGAAGATTCCCTAAAGACTTTGTAGCAGGCACTCCATTGCTGAGCAAAGAGATGATCAAGGAAGCAAAACCTCTCGCTCCTGAACGCTTGTGGATGTTCAGCGTACCTCTTCCTCAGCACATTAATCCACGCATCAATGTGCTGCATTTAGAATAAAACAAGTCAGAAGATATCAGACGACTTAACAGACGACTTAATGGTAAGTCGTCTTGTAAGTATTCTACGTAGACGACTTACCATTAAGTCGTCTGTTAAGTATTCTTTGTGAACGACTTAACAGACGACTTATCAGACGACTTAATGGCAAGTCGTCTACAAAGAAGACTTACCAGACGACTTAACGGTAAGTCATCTGATAAGTCGTCTACGTAGAATACTTAGAAGACGACTTAACGGTAAGTCGTCTACGTGGAATTATAGT